GTGGAACAACAAGCACGATTACTCTTAAGTTCACATTACCTGCCCCTCCTCTTCAATTTACATTCATTTAGGAGTAAATTCCATGTTACAATACGAGACAAGTATGGAGCCATGTTCAGCTGGACTGACCCAGGGGCAAGCCAGGCAGAGACTTGTGATGCAAGTCTCAGTTCAAAGGGAAAAAAAGCAACAAAAACCTGGGCATCTAAAACAAGGTAGAGTTGAACTTTTAGGCACATCTGTTTAAAACTACAATCCAAAGAGCAATCCAGACACTTGAAGGACAATTTGGAGTGCTTCAAACTCAGCACAGTTTGGGCCATAAGCAGACACACAGCCCATCAACATTTCCCCTTCCCCTCCTTCCAAAAATGGAGCACTTCAAAATTGCTATGACTACTTGTAGTGGTGTACTCTCCAGTGAAGGGGTGTAACAGGGGTTTGCTCAGTCCTGTGGCTCTACTCCCCCTCTATTTCAGGGAAGACAGCCAATGTGTTCTCTTACGTGCTCAGCCTCCAAATCTCCAAGTTCTGGGGCTGGAGAGAACAATTTCTTGCATGCCTCTTGGATTCTAGAGATTGTGGGAATAGCTGAACACCACTTGCCAGAACCAGGATCCCAGAGATGGAGAGGCACACAGGGATTCCAGCTCTGGGGATGTCTGAACGCACAGGAGAACGCTCTCTGGCTATCTACCTGCTCTCCCTGTCATCCGCCCAGGGCCACAGGGTGAGATTTGAACACCCTGGCCAGTGATTAAAGCAGAGGTATCCAACCTTTTTGAATGTGGGGCTGGATCGTGAATTTATCATCACCCAGTGGGCTGGTGAGCCATATTCAAACACCCTCTGTCCTGGGCCAGAGAGACCCTGTGTAGCCCCACTGCACCTGCCTGTTACTGCAAGGTTCATGGTAGCTGGCGGTGGGCAGGGGCAGGAGGGATCCATTCAGTCTCTGGGGCAGTAGCTGGCTGGAGGCAGAAGGGGAGAAATAAATAGCTCCACATCTCCATCCCTCAAGCAATGTAGCCCCACGAGCCAGCGCTGCCTGAGGGGGGCTGGAGCGAGACAGCCACTGCGCTGCAGCCCCTCGCCCGCCCGCCATCATGGCCCCGCTCACCATGGTGCCCAGCCACCCGCGCACACAGCCTCCGTGGCCTCAGTGCTGCGAGCCCGGAGCACGGGGTCCGGCAGACACCGATTCCCGCTGCCTCGCCCCGCAGAGGTCACACCAGGACCCTGCCTGCCAAGGCCCCCAAGTGCTGGCTTCCCACATGCTGCTGGGGATGGGAGGAGGCCAGCCAGGTTGGCACCAGTCAGCAGAAGCGGCAGCAGAACCAAGTGCCACTTGGGACTGACCGGCGCAGGTACGGGGAAAATGCAGTTGAGCCCCTGCTGCTCTGGCTGGGCTCATCCTGGCCCGAGCGGCGCACAGCTCCGCTGCCGCTTCTGCTGGCTGGTGCAGACCCAGACGGGCTCCTCCTGTCTCCAGCAGCTTGTGGGAAGCCGGCTTCGGCCGCATGCTGCTCCAGATGGGACGGACCCAGCCGGGTCAGCACCGGACAGGAAAAGCGGCATGCAGCTGGCTGGAAGGGCATCCTGGACTGTGGTCTCTGCTTCCTGGAATAGTTGTATCTTTTATATCAGAATCACTGGGTAAACTAAAATAATGCTCAAAGCAAAAAAACAAATGTGGGATTCCTTACTCTGAGTGCCCTAACCTAGATAACAGGGTCAGCTTGCTTGCTCTTCTTCTGGCTCTATTTCTTTCTACTCAGTGGCTCAGCTTCAACAGCAGGGATGGAAGTATCCACGTCCAAGCACAGCCTACTGCTTCCTGATTATGTGATATGCAGTTTGAACCTCGCTCAGGTTGAGGATGGCTTAGTAGCCAAGTATCCCACTTCCTAGCAGGTGCTTTAACCATTTTACTATTACACCAAAGGCATGCACCATTTTAAAAAGAGCAAGTCCTGATCAGTTCAAGAAAACATGCATAGGTGCCTCTCTTCAGGATTAGTTCCAGACTCCATCTCCAGTGGACAGATGTTTCACCTTCAGAACCAAGGGTCGGGTGCCTAAGCAACTGAGAGGGAAATTCAGGAGTCCAGATGGCATTAAGCCTGTGCTTAATAGCTACTTACAGATACATTAAAAAAAGTGCTTTACTTTAAACTCAGTGTGCCCCCACACCAAGCCCAGCACATGCCCAAAAGAGGCATCGTGTTAGTTTGACCCAGCTTGTCCAATGTCTGCAGAGACTGGGCACTTCAATGTGGGGCTTTCTAGTCAAAAAATGCTCACTGAAGAGAGCGATCTATACAGAAGCTGCAGAGACAGGTTGAACTTGAGCTGCCTCTTTTGGTAAAGTGCGTTTGCTTTTCTTTTTTTTTTTGTTATGTCTGTCAGCAGCCTTGGTGTTTTGAACTGCCCCTCTGAGATGCTTCTCCCCCACAGTCTGTCAAGGGAGCTTAGCCACTTCTCTCTTCATTTCAGATTCTAATCTGTAGGCCACATACCTAAAATTCAGGCACTGCAGTGCCTAGCATGTAGGCACCTAGAGTTCTTTATTAGATCCAGCACTGAATCAAAATATCTCCCAGTGTCCCCTCTTGCTATAGTGACAACATATTAGTCTTCATCTTTTAGCTGTGCCTTGGTTTTGCCCATTACTTCTCCCTGACTACTTTCTGTCCCCTTCCCTAAGGGCTATGGTAATACAAATAAACTGTAAATCACAGAAGTTTCTTTCAGCCTAATGCTAAGGACTATACTGTTAGGGTGTGTGTGTGTGGGGGGGGGGATTAATGGACTTCAAACAGCCTTCTGATTGTGTACTTGTAATTACCTGTTAGTGCAAAACTGCAGGTATAATTAACTGTGGGAGTAAGAGAGGTGACTAAAACTCTAAGCCCCTGATCACCAGCACAAATCAGGTGGCTAGGAATGCAAATGGTATAATTTGTGCTAAGAACTGCATGCACAGCTGTTCATCCACAATGGCCTCTGGGCACAAAGTCAAAGGTTACTCCTTGAAGTTCAGCTGTTAATATTCAGGGAGAGAAAGTAATGAAAAATACTGAGCTATGAGGTAGCCAGTAGCACAATGTGCAAGAGGCAGAAGAATTCTCTTCCCACCCTCTTCTCACAATATACAAGCCTAGTCCTTTCACCTTAACAGATGGCAATGGCTGATTTTATTTCAGTGGCAGGGACCTTGATTAAAGCTTCAATGACCACAGTAAACATAAGCTTGCCACCATGATTTTACCTTTAGTAATATGACTTAAAAGATGCATTCACTATTTCAGTTACGGCAACAAGCTGGTTGCAGCAAGATACCACATGCATAGCAAGTAACTGAAAAAATAAGCTGCATTCCTTAATGCAAACCTGGGGTTTAGGAAAGGGCAATGGATTGTTTCTTAAGTATCTTATGTTACATGGTGGTGGTCTGTTTGTGAAATTTATGATAGACAGAAAACAGAAAATAGCATTGTGGCAAGAGGCAGGTCAGTGTTTATGAATCAGAAAGACAGAAGAAATTAAGTATCGGTAGTGAGGCTGAAACCACAAGTCAGTTTTCTATATAATGGGTAAATCTGTCATACCTCAGAGATTTGAAATGATGGGTTAGGTGGCTTCATTAAAGGTTTTGGTCCCACCAGAAGCGGGAGGGCAGCTCTCTGAGCTTCCATTCAGTTCAGTGGGGCTCATCATGAATGCTGGGTCTGCCCAAACCATGCTGTTCACAGAACCAGTGCCCTAGATTCCAAGACTAGGCAGATGGAATTTTCTGACTATATTCACAACCTAGGGAGGCTTTAGTTGAGGAGTGAATTTAAATTTAATTTGAAAGAGAAAGATTAACCAGAATGTTCAACATAACACTACCTGGCTTGCGCTGTGAGTTTAATTCTAAGCATTAGATAATCTATTTTTGAATTTAAAAAAAAAAAAAAAAGCGCATACCTAAATTTCAGTGCTTAGGAAAGGTTTTAGACTGGCACCTTCAGAGAGCCGAGCCCTCTGTCTACTGAATATATACAGCATGGTCAGAAGCAATGGAGGCTTCCTTCCCACTGCATCCCCCCAGGGGTCTCAATCCTGACTGTGAGGGAGCATCTCTACAGCAGATATGTTCCTGCCTTTTGTCAGTTCATGTCAAATGCCTACCATTACATCACTGTGTATTTGGGGAGTGCAACTGCATTCAAAAAACATGCCCAGTCAGATGCTCAGCTGGTGTAAATTGCTGCTGTTCCAACAACTTCCACTGAATTCTGCTAATTTGCAGCAGCTGAGGACCTGGCTCTCAGCTTGAAAAAGCAATAGTTTTTTCCACGTAACCTAAGCATATTCCTTTAAGATTTTCTTCCATGCCTTTTGCCTCTTTTGTTTTACTTCTGTTCTCTACCATAATCCTTTATTAACTGCAGGGACACTTTTGTGATGAAGACAGAGGTGAAAACAGCAGGTTGTCATTCAATTAACTAACCCAAGCAGCAAATGGCTGACAGATGTTTCTGCTCTTTAGCATAATCAGAATTTCTCGGGTGTTGTCCCGCACCTCTACTCTGTTGCTAGAGTGCATATTAATACAGCTGAATAAAAAAACCTGACACAGCAACATCAAGAACAAAGGACTGAGCTGTCCAGCACAGCTGAGTCGACTGCCTAACAGACTAGTGACTAGGTTCACTCAGCCACCATCACAGCTATTACTCAACAATGTTAATTATTGCAATTCTATTCTGGACATTAACTTGAACAAATAGCCACAGCCTGCTCAGGGAAACTATTCCTGATCATCTTGTGTTTTTCCTTTGCCCTAACGTGCCAGTTAATCTTACTTCAATGACCTACTACAAAATTTCACTGCTGATATATATTTTTACAGGCTTGCTTTTTTTTTTCTTCTTCTTTTTTTTACTGCACTATGGCACTGTCACTGCGGCACCTAATACATTATGTAAGAAGCATTGCATCAGCTCGCTTACCCAGTGCAGTGGCCCAATGCAGACCTTGGCAGCCAGGAGAGGAACAGTGGGATCTGCAGGATGCAGCTTTGCACACTCTTTGAGCACTGACACAGCATGTGCCGACTGGGGATGATGGAGAGTTGGGGGAGGGTTGAGGGGAAAGAAAAAAAAAACAAAGAGGGGCTGATTAGATGGTGTGGGTGTAGAACACAGACAAGGCATTTCACTGACATGTACATAACAATAAGATGACTTGGTAAACACACGAGTGAGCAACAAGTGAATGACACCCCCCAACACCCCCCTCAAAGGAAATATTTTCAAAATGTCAAAGACAGTCCCATCTGCATGAGTTATAAAGAACAGTTTTCCCTGCAAGTCAAAAGATAAGGTTATTTAAATTCTATTGTTCATCTTGTACCTTGCAATAATTCCCACTGACTACAGTATCACCTTCTAGTAAACTTGAAAAATCATGGGGGAGGGGGGAACCTCCCCTCCAGCTAATTAAATCGAGAGGAGCCGCGTATGAATCACACAGATGCTTGTGCATCTAAATCAGTCTGCGTTCTGTTTTGCAGATTGTTCCCTCCAGTTCCATAGCAAATGTGAATACAGCCCGAGCCCACAGTGCAGAGAAGCAGAGATGACAACTGCAGTGCAGTGCACTATTCAGCAGAGAAGAGAAAAGGAACTTTCCTGAAGGTGCTCGGACCAGTGTGCATTGTCAGGAAAGCTCTTCCTCTCCCTCCAGGATCACATTACAAGTGACGAATTACATGAAGCTAACATTTAACATAGCCCTTTTCATCTTTCACATACTTTACCAGCCTGCAGTAATCTTCATAGTTATCTATGGGTGGGTAAGTGTTATAACACACCCCCAGCCACCTAGAGATGTTCCAGCACCTCTGGTGACAGTACCAAAATCCTCCTCTTTTAAAGCACAGGTCCCTACCACTCTGTCGGGAGGGGAGTCTCCATTCACTGTATAGGGCTTATGACACAGTTGTGCAGTTCTAATACCACCCACCTCCACCATCTACCTGTTGTGCAGTAGAACAACAACATATTATTATTAGTTCTTCCTTCTCCCCACCAACCCACACACACATTTCACAAATGAAAAAACCAAGATTAAGTGGCTTGCTTAAAATTAGAAGGGCAGCCACTGCCAGAGCTGGGGTTAGAATACAATTCCAGCTCCTATTCCTAGTTTGTGATCATTAACCTCTCCTCTTAAAAAGTAAAAATTTGGTTAAATTTAAGCTTTGAAGAACAGAAAGAAATGCAACCTTGTCATTATGTATGTCAGTAACTAAAACCATTGGTACCTTTATAAAGAGAGAAAGCTAAATGCCTCTAAACTTGGTTTTACTTTTTTGTTTCCATTTTTGGCTTGCTTAGAAGCAACAGTGCTTGGGTTTCAAAGGCATCCTCTACTCCTATCACATGTCTCTAACTGTAATGCACGATTCAGATGCTTTTGCTCACTCCCCTACCGCCTCCCAGACTAAACTCAAAGTTTTGGCAAAAGAGGCCATGCCTTGGTGCACTCCCCTTCCTGTGGCCCGTACTCCTATGAGAGCAGCATTATAAGACAGAAGCAGAGATTCTAGCACAGTATGGCATAATCTCTCCAGTCCTAGCATTTGAGACATGTCCCCAGCCCTTGCTATTTCAACATGTAAGAGTCTGTCTGGTCCAGGTTTCTCAGGGGCTGCATGGTCCATTAGGATACTGGTTTTCTTTGGAAGAGTTACCAATGAATGCAACCTAATGAGGTGGATCCTCAACTCTGTGCAAACAGCTTGGATGCAGAAGCAGTGAATACTCCTAGCAACTACTTCGCATTCTGGGATCCAGCACCTGTCATCCCTGGCAGATCCTAAGGATGAGATCCTTCAGGGACTTGCATGAATGAAAGATAGGCAAAGCTGACTTCTTTTCCATCACGTTCCCTATTAACTTCTGATCCCTCCACACCTCCATTGCACCTGTTGAGTAAGACTGGCTATTGGTGGAGGAACCAGATCGCCCTCAGATGGTACAAGGAAAATTCCTCAGAGGTCAGCTCTGGCTAGAATCTATTCATTAAGTGGAGCATAAACAGAACTTATTGGAATGTGGAGGAGTGTCTCTAACATCAATTATAAGTATCTGGTAAACAAAGTCAATTTATTACATCCTCTCATGAGCATTTTAAACATTAATTGAAAAAGTGAATGCTGTAGTTTCTGAACCGCATCCAAATCACAGCAGATTGTTGTTCGAAACAGGTTTTTAAAAATTGAAGCTATGCATGTGACCTAAGTGAGTATTTAGCCAAGTGCATATTTAGAAAGAGTAAGGTGTGAAACCTCTCTCCTCCAAGTGCACTTAAAAATGCAAAAGATCTATATAATTTCACCCCGAGAGCTTATTCAGCAGTATTATATGTAGCATAAAAGTTTGTCAGGGAAAGGCAATAGAAAGAATATCCATCTCCCAGGGGTGACCTTACTTTCGACAGATAGGAATGAAGTATTTGACATCAAGGTGCTTTACAGACACAAATGAATTAACAGATGGTGAAAAAAAACTTGTTCACACAGAGAGTCATTGCTCAGCAGTAATATTAGATACAAAGGAGTGTTTGCGTAATATTGAAATAATCTAATAATTAAAATGTTTGTATTCTTTGGTGAGAATGTGGGTGAACTAGTCAGCCAAGTGCAGGGTTTGCAAGATTTTCTGCAAGACCATTATAATTAGATGTATTAATGATGTACATATTGAACATGGCAAAGAGCCTGAACCCAAACTCTCCATCCATATGTTCCTGAACTTTGGAGGGGCTGACATTCAAATGCAGATGGGGAGGGGGAAGGAGAGGACGGAGAAGGGGAAAGGTTCAGTTATGGTATTTTAATTGCTGGAGTTCTACCAGTACACCAAATAAAGCTGCCAAGGACTCTGGAAAATAAAGGATCCATATATGGTCCCAAAATTTTATTGCCCCGCTCTAGTTGAAAGTCTCTTTTTAATGGTGTTGGTGTTACTAGGAAGGCAAAATTATGCATCTGCTGACAGCTACATCTCATGGGTCAGAACTAAGATTGTGAGGTGACTGGTGTGCAAGTTCTTCATCTTAACCTGAAAGCCACCAACAGATCTACGGAGGTCATGACTGTGCTCCTCCTCTATGCCGTGATGAGTGTGAATCTCAGAATTATTTTTTCTCTCTGGCAACACAGTGTCAGACAACAGAAATGACTGAAAGCCAGTGTCTAATTGAAATTCTAACCAATTAAAGACAGAAATTCTAAGACCTGTAACCCATGGTTAAGATCCATCTAGTTATTTTACCTTACGTTGATCAGCTCCACGGTTTTTCACCCCTAAAGTTCTACTAATTGCAATCAACTTGGTATGTAGTTCTTGGAACATGAAGCCAAGGAAGAATAGAGGCATCATTTGGCACATCACTATTCTATGCTTAAGTCCAACATCTGCAGAAATCTATTTACTGAGACAGTTTTCTATATCTCAGTCTCCTGAAATGCAAGATTTTCTCTATCAAAGATAATAATAAAATGTTCTGTTTGCTTTTGACAAGAAACTCTTACTCACAGATCCAGTAAAGTAACATGAAGAAATAATTAAGAAAACTAACAACTGTTTTCAATATATATATTTGAAAGGGTCTTTCTACTTCATTTTTGGAAGTGTAAATAAATAGAAAGTAGGTATGTGATGTATAGAAATGTGGGGGAAAAGTCATACCATTTTCCCCTTCTGATTAAAGCTATGCCAGATTTGAATCCTGCAGGGGACTTTAAAATTTAAAAAAGAAAGTCATCTCAAGTTATTTTTACCTAAATGGCAAGAAAACCTATTTTCTAACTACAGAAAGGAGGCATAAGCATGCCCTTCAAAAACTTCCATGTGAATAACAGAGAATGGGAAATAATTTACAACTGTATTTTCTTGGTTACTTTTCTAAGAGTGCCCTGAAGAGAATTCTTCCATTAATTAAAATGAATTCCTTCAGTTCTATGCAACTAAATAGATGCTTCTAACTAAATGCCATTGTTGTTTGGCTCACTTCAGTGTTTTCTTCAGAGCAATCTTTCCTAGTCCTTCTATTTCCATCTCTAACAAAATAATGGAACAAACAGTCAAGGGGAAAAAAAAAAAAAAAAAAATCACTAAACATTTAGAGGATAATGAAACCATGAACAATAACCAGCAGGAGTATCTAAACATTAAATTTTACCCAGCAATTTTTTTTTGCAGCAGGAGCTGCAACATTTGATTTCAATAACGCATTTGCTATTCTTTCAACCATGTTTTAAAGGTGTCCTTTAAAAACCAAAAAAAAAAAAAAAAAAATTTAAACATCCCAGTCATGGTGGGGAATGGTTTATCAAAAAGGTAGGTTTCACAGTATGCTCTCAAAGGGCATTTGTACACACATATGTGCCACAGCACCGAGCGCTTTTAAAAGCACCTGGCACTGCGTCACATACATTTGTAAAAATGGTGAAATGTGCATCAGTGCTGAGAAAATGGCGGCAGTGTGCTTCTGAACTAAAACGCATCGAGGGAGTTTTAATTCAAAAGTGCACCACCACCATTTTCTGCATGCCGACGTCCATTTTGCTTTTTATACAAATGTATGTGATGCAGTGTCAGGTGAGTCAGTTTGTGTGCTTGCCAGACTCGATTAACTGAGTCTGCTCCAACACACTGGATTTCTGGAGCACTGGAGCAGATAAAAGTATGTGTATAAATGCCCCAAAGACTTGGGCCTTTGACTCAGGTCAGAACCCTTGTCATAGTTTCTTCCACAGTTGAATTGCCTCAACTGAGAAGCCTTTATTTCTAGCCATCACCTGCCACTTCCTGGTTCTTGTAAACTGCATGCCACAAGAAGTACACACCTCTCTTGGTGAGTCATGGCTGAAAATCCCATAACTGAGATGTCTTGGGTCCTGACCTGTTAATGATGGCTCTGAAGTTCAATATTGAGCCTCTGAGTTGACAGTGGAAATGAACACAATGAAGGGAGCAGGGCACAGCTCAAGGCAGACAGTCCACACGAAGACATGGGAAATCATCTTTTTTACCAAGTGCAGCCA